AACCAAAAAAACCAACTTCGAAGAGCGATCTACTCCAAGTTTTGAAGCAAGAGTGGGCGAAAATCCCACAATTTAAAAATGATGGGAGATGATTCTCACGATGCCCCAAAGGATCAACGAACTGCACGAAGCGAAAGGAAGATCTACTAGATATTAATTAAATTATAAATATATCAATTAATGTGAATATGACTGAAAAATTTAATTTTTTCTGAAAAGGTGGTGTCTATTTACTTATGACCACTCAGTGTATCTCTCTTAAGATTCCGATGTACGTTAGATTGACGCCTAAAGCATTTAATATTGCGCTGTGTTCTACAGAGTCAAATGCTTTTTCATAACCTATAAATCCCACGCATAAAGACAAGTTGTATTCATTTTATTAGTTGCATGTAAATGATCTGTTTTTGAGAATTTTCCCCTAAAGCCTGATTGTTCTCTTACTTGGTGTTCGTCCAAAATTCTTTCCAATCTTTTTTGTAGTACTTTTGTGAATAGTTTATATAAGTGAGATAATAGGCTTATGGGGCGGTAATTCTTTATATCTTGCTTGTCTCCCTTCTTATATAAAATGATTATCTTGGCTTCTTTCTATTTCTTTGGTATCGTATTTTACTTCAATATTTTATTAAACAATTTTATTTTCTCCCTTAATGTTTCAGTTCCACCTGCTTTCAAAAAATCATTGGCAATCATATCGTTTCCGGTAGTTTTCCTACTCTTCATCTCAGCTAATGCATTCTCCACTTCCGAGACTAAAATTTTAGGTGCTTCAGTTTTTATCTGCTTTGTTCTTCTCAAAATGAATTTCTGTCCCTGTTTCATTTTTAATAGTTGATATATATATATAAATCTCTGTAAAAATCTGTACATATCGCAACTGTTTATGTTCTGTCATTTGTGGTGATTCTTTCTTTGTTTTTCAATCTTTTCTTGCTCTGTTTCTTCTTTTCTTCCTTACTATCTTTGTTAACTCAGCATATTCAACTTTCTCTTGTTTGGTCTTCCTCACCATTCATTTTAATTATTTTTTCCTGCCATCCATTTTCTTTATAAGCTCATATTCCTTCATCTTTGTTTAAAGTTTGGTTTGAAAACCTGTTGATTTTTTCTGTTTCTTCGATTGAAATCTCATTTAGTTGTTCAGAAAAAATATCCAGATCTTGCTCTTCCTCCAACACTCCAAATCTGTTTCTTAGATTTAATTCAAAATCTCTTTTGTTTTCATTTAAATGATTAATATTGATCTTGAGAGCTTTATTCTGTCATATAGTTTTAAGACTCGCCGATCTTTTTTTTTTTATTTATCTTAATTATTCGATGACGAGGAACCAACTTTGAGACTAATAATGGCTGGAGACGGCTTAAATGGGTA